CTCTTGATAGCACCCCACTAGGGGTGACCAGATACTTACCCAAGTCTCCCAATGAAAAGTCACACAGCTTCAAAAAGAGAAAAGGAAGGAGAAGGAAAGGAAGGAAGGAAAGAGGGAGGTTTCTGAAACACACCCTGAAGCATGCGGTCTGTGACATGCTGTACTTACCAGACAGGGCATGTTCTCAAGCACACTCAAGATCTCCGGGTCACTCAGCATGTTGTGGGAGAGGTCGAGGACACAGAGTCGCAGACACTCACTGAGGTGCTGAATGTCTGCCACAGTCTCCAGGCGGTTGTGGGCTATTTGCAGCGTGTTCAGGACAGGGAGACAGGCTGGAGGGGAGGCGGCACAAATGAGCAACAGTAGCCTGTGCTCCCAGCCCACACACTGGAATTTCAGCCAGGATGTGGCACAGAGCAGGGCTGCCAAGCTTACAGAGGTTCTCAATGGTCTTGATGTAGTTGTTGCTCAGGTTGAGGGCGTCCAGCTTCTGGAGCGGCTCCAGGTTTTCGATCTTGTGCAACAGGTTCACTTGCAGGAAGAGGCAGCGTAGCTCGCCCTGGGCCTGCAGATTCTCGATCTTCTGGATGCCATTGCACTCCAGCCAGAGGCAGCGAAGGCCTGTGTACTCTTCCAGGTTCTCAATTCGGTCAAACCCTGATGGGGAGGGGCTGGTGAGGCTCTTGTGCATTCAGAGGGGAGGGACCTGGCATTGTTGGTTTTGCCTATTGGCAAAGGCTATGTGTTTGGGTCTCTGCAAATTCTGATGTAGAAGACCACACATTACCTCCAGGGTGATGGTGTTAGAAAGGGCCTTTGGGAAGCTAGGAGTTCCTGAGGGTGGCACATGAGCAATAGGATTAGTGCCTTTTTAGAGAGAGACTGCTTGGCATGGTGGCACAACAGTGATCCCAGGAGGCTACAGCAGGAGGATCACAAGTTCAAGGCTACTTTGGGCTACAGACTGAGGTCACAGATGGAGTTCTCCATCTGTGAACTTGGAAACAGCCATCACAAGGCATTGGATCTGCTGGCACCTTGGTCTTGGACTGAGGCAGGAAGGCCACAAGTTCAAGGCTAGCATGACCTAAATAACAAGATCCCATCTTCAGTGTACGTGTATGTGGGGGGGGTTGTGAGATATTGAGATTAAATTAATTAGTTATGTGCCTGGTGGCACAGGCCTGTGATCCCAGTACTTAGGAGGCAGAGACAGCAGATCTCTGTGAGTTTGAGGCCAGCTTGGTCTATGGAGTGAGTTCCAGGACAGCCAAGGCTAAACAAAGAAACCCTGTTTTGAACACCCCCCCCCAAAAAAAAAGAAAGAAAAGAAAAGGAAGCAAGGGCAGCTCCTCCATACCCACACAGCCCCTTTATGAATTCACTAATTAGAGCTGTATCTGAGCACAAAGATGACCTCTGCAGCTCATTTTCTACCTGTCCTCCTGACACTTGTCATGGACACCCCTGGAACTCACCCTTGAAGTGTAAATATAACGTGTCATTGAGGGCAGGGGTGATGTACAGCTTGTGTTGCTTGCAGAGCTTTTGAAGGAATTGTTTAGTCATCCTGTTAAAATGCAAAACACAAACAAGAGGCTTGTTTCAGCTTGTCGACTGTGAAACAGATTTAAAGGTTTGCATTTGGTTTGGTTTTGAGATAGGGTCTCATTCTGTAGCCCAGGTCAGCTGGGAACTCACTATGCGACCCAGGCTGGCCTTAAACTTGTGGTCCTCCTGCCTCAGCCCACTGGTATTGCAGATGTGAGCCATGGCACAAGCTCAGGCTCTTTCCTACATCCATTGCGTCTAAAGTCCTACATCTTAAGCCTCCGGTTAAATCTTCTCCCCTTCTCCTTTGGTATGTTTGTGTGTGTGTTCTTGTGTGTTCATGTGTGTGCAAGGTCACATGGAAGCTAGAGGTGAGCATCAGGTGTCCTCCTCTCACATCTGCCATAGTTCTTGAGGCAGAGTCTCTCATTGAACCTGCTGATTTGGGTAGAATGGCTGGCCAGTGAGCCCCCAGACTCCTCTGTCCCAGCCTCCCCAGTTCTGGGATTACAGATGCCCAGGGAGGTCTGGATGTTTGCATGGGCACTGGGGATTCTAATTTACATCCTCATCTGAGCCATCTCAGCAGCATCTCCTCCCTTAATTATTTGTTTATTTATTTATAGCTCTTAGGGCTTTACCCCAAAATGTTACTTCAGCATTCTAAAAAAAACTGCAGTGTTTGGCTTAATATAAATACTTCTAGTAGTTTCATCAATAAAACTGGTGTGAGCCAGGCATGATGTGAACATTTGTAATGCCAACTCTCAGGAGACTGAGGCAGGAGGTTCATGAGATTGAGAGCCAGACTGGGCAATAGAATGAGACCCTGTCTTAACACAGGGGTGGAGGTTGGGATAACAAGATGGCTCAGTGAGTAGAACAAAAGCCTGAAGATCCAAGTTTGATCCCTGGAATCCTCAGTCGAAGGAGAAAATGTACTTCTGCAAAATGTCTTTTGACCTCATATATGTCCAGGGTATATGCCTGTACACATTCATTTCCATAGTCTTCCTCTCACTCTAACAAATACTTTTTTTTCAAAAAAAGAACTAGGAGTTGGTAAGATAGTTCAGCAATCTTACTCTTGGAGAGGATACAAGATAAGTTCCTAATACATTTCAGGCAACTCACAACCTCCTGTAATTCTAACTCTAGGGAGCCCTACACCTTCTTTTGGCCTCCATGGCTACCTACACACACACACACACACACACACACACACACACACACACGCACACACACACACACACACACACACACACACGCACACACACACACACACACACACACACACACGCACACACACACACACACACACACACACACACGCACACACACACACACACACACACACACACACGCACACACACACACACACACACACACACACACGCACACACACACACACACACACACACACACACGCACACACACACACACACACACACACACACACGCACACACACACACACACACACACACACACACGCACACACACACACACACACACACACACACACGCACACACACACACACACACACACACACACACGCACACACACACACACACACACACACACACACGCACACACACACACACACACACACACACACACGCACACACACACACACACACACACACACACACACACACACACGTGACACCCCTCATATTCTCTCTCTCTCTTTCTCTTTCTCTTTCTCTCTCTCTCTCAAACTACTGCTGTTTCTATCCTGTTCTGGTAATAATTGGGCAGGCTACTCAGCTTTGTCTGTGCAACGGGCAAAAGGAATAGCACTGTGCACTCTCCTTGGTAGCTGTGCAGTACAACACATACCTGGGGCCTCGATCGTCCCTGTCATTTCTTGCATAGGCTGAGTGACCATCTAACCCACTGTCACCACTCTGTTGCTGCTGACTTTGGCAGGATATTGTAGAAGGACCCACACATGTTTCCTTGGCCTCATTAATTTCTGTAAAATAAGAGTCAACTTGTAACGATCAAAAATATTTAGGATAGGTATGGCAATCCCAGCCTGTGATCCCAGCACTTGGGGAGGAAGGGTTTTGTGTTTGGCCAGCCTGGGCTACATAATGAGACACCAAAACAAAAGAATAAAACCTAGGTTGTCATGTTTTTGATTTATATAAATGGGATCCTATGCTTTTTGTGGAACTCGTCTTTTTTTAATACCCATATATGTTCCTGAGGATGATTCTTACTGATGGATGAAGCTCTCAGTGCATCATTTTCCAGGCAGAAGAATCCAATGTGCTCTATAAGCACTCCTTTAAAGACATTTGCATTGATAACATGTTCTGGGTGTTAGAAACAACACAAAAATGAGCATCTTTGTCCACACTTTTATGTTCTCCTGTGCGGTTTTTTTTTTATAGAGGATAAGCCTAAAAGTGACATTTACATAGTTAATAATTTGTAAAGATTGATATACAAGGAGATGGAGAGATGGCTCAGTCATCTTGGAATGCTTGCTACTCTGCCTGTAACTCCACTTCCAGGTTATCTGATGCTTCTGGCCTCCTTCTGTATGGCCTTGGCTGTCCTGGTCACTCTGTAAACCAGGCAGGCTTTGAACTCACAGAGATCCACCTACCTCTGCTTCTCGGGTGCTGGGATTAAAGGTGTGGGTCACCATCGCCCAGCAATACACTTTTTTTTTTTAAAAAAAGTGGAAAACACAGTGGAAAAAATAATTAAAAAAGGACAAACTGGTGTCATGGAGAATTTTCCAGTAAGTTTTCTTGTAGACTATCAAGTTATACAGAAGCAAAATTTACCCAAAGGGTCACTGCCTCAGACATAACTTCAGGACTGCTGGGATATAGATTCGAAACCCACTGTATTTATGCACTTCTGGGATTTGAACTCAATTATCAGGCTTGTGTTTCGAGAACTTTTGCCCTGTAAGGTAAATCTAGGAGCCTCAAATGAATATAACTTCAGGAGCTGATGTGAAGGTATGTTGGATGACACTAAACACTGTTTAGGGACTGTGTCTTATATTCATTTCCAACAATTCCCAGCCACTGGCGGTACCTGAGAAATATTCATTGGAATAAAAAATCGGTGTTCTATATGTGCTGGATTGACTATATTAATAAAGGTCTAGCATTCATTAATAATAAATGGGCAGGCATGTACGTGGGGTGCTGGCTGATCTAGGCTGTGTGGATGGGCCTGTGTGAGGCGGGTCGACTGGCTGTTCTTGTAGCATGTGTGAGGGGTGTTGGTTGCTCCCAGCTGCGTGAATGGGCATGTGTGAGGCACAGGGGCCCTTGCTCCCTCGGCTCCCCTACACGATGGCACCTTCTTTGCGGACCCCTGGGCCCGCGTCGCCGTGATCGCCCGCCGACTCCTCCAGACTGGGTTCCGCCGCTCTGCCCGCAGGCGGCTCCGAGGCCTCTGGGTGCATTCT